TTTTTTTTTTTATCAATTTAATAATAGTGCTAAATTTTAAAGCCTACCCTCTGGTTTTTCTTTCCGACTTGTGTACAGGATCTGCTTGGGTGAAAATCCTTTTAATTTAACTGCGATTGAATGCCCAATTCTACCATAACCGACAATACCAACAATAGAGCCATGCAGTCCTTGACCATTCAACCATTGGGGTGACCATGAGGTCCATCCTCCGCTAAAATAAAGAAGAGAAAGGTGATATTACTCATGTAAGACAGTCTTTCGGAAACAACTCCTTAATTCATGCATGGTGGCAAATTTTTAAACAGAATGATTCACTTCAAGAGGGAATAAAGTCAAAATTTGAGTTTTCAATAGAAGTTACCCTATTGTGCCCAAAAGAATAAATTGCGAGCTGCTCTTTTCACTTTTATTCATTGATCACTCCTAAAATTGCACTAAGACACAGATGTAGTCCCTGCTGTGCAGTTTATTGTCAGCCACGTGGCGACTGTCTATTTTTTCTCCAACTGTCTCTCAAAATGTTTGTATGACAACAGCATTAGGCATACGCACATTTGAAGTCTAAAATTGGCTTACTTTTTGACATTGGCGGCAGCTTCCATCAGTCTTCGAGAGGTTGCCAACAGCAGGGCCACAGTGAGTTCTGCTGTAGCTTCCGTTAAAACTCCAGGAGTGTATCCGAGTCGCACATTGTTATCTTTAAGGGCTTGTAGGCAAACATGATCAACACCAACTGACATCGTGCTCACCACCCGCAAAGACGGAACTTGATGAACAAAAAAAAAGGAGTTTGTTCACTGATACATAGAGGCATTATTCATCCTTTAGCAAAGATTTAACGTTGGCAGGGATTCTGGAAACTTCATGGAACATATTTTTTCCAGCCCTTTTGAAACACTTTTCATTAATGAATATTATCCGAGACAAAAAAAGAGAAAAAAGATTGGAAGAACAGTTTTAAAAGAGCATGTTTATTTAATTTTAAGGTCCCTGTAGGAGAACATAAGGGTAAACATACGTTTCTCTTTTGTGATAATTTTGGCATACTTTCTGATGGAAATCTATCACACAAAAGTAACATTCTGTATGAACATTCCGTCATCGCCAAATTTCCCAGAATCATACACAAACTTTTCAGGAAACTTGCAAGTATTTTTGCTCCAATTTTTCAGAGAGTTTTTATTTGCAATTTGAACAAAAGTATCCGATAATTTCAAGTAAAAATATTTACATCTTTCCTCAAAAGTACAATTATATAGGGGCAATATTTGAATGATCATACACGTTTTTCCTTAGTGCAACAGCACAGCCAAGGGTTATATTTTGTTCAATCTAAAAAGATATGGTAGGATACACACATCCATGCTTTAGGCCTCTTAAATTTTCTTATAACAAGGCCATAAGAAATATTTTTAAGCAGTTCTCATTGTCAGTTCCGAGAAAATTTGTTGTCACCACCAGAATTCTAGCACAGGATGTACTATTGTCAATGGGGAATATACTCCTGATCTACATGGCTACACACCATCAACGTTCATTGTTAAAAGGTCCTGGGTACAGATCCTAGCAAAATAAGGGAATGCAACAGTGTATTTTATTCATAAAATACAATAAAACGATTCATTTGGATACATTAAGAGTAAAATATAAGAATTATGCGAGTGCGGTAGATATGGAAATCCTTTAAAAGCTGTTTTCGAAATCTTTATCTCTGTGTACCCTAGTTCCACCAGTAATTGTCAAAATCATGTGGGTAGGGAGGAAGTGCCATGTTTAGATTACTTAGTAGGAAATATTTACCTATAATAGGCAGGTACTTCATAATTACTGACAGAACAAATAATATTTATGTATCTATCTGAGATGTTATCAAATGAAGAGCTTACATCGAACTAAGGTAGGTGCTCAACTTTGCCAAATTTCATTGGGAACCATTATAAGTTTGATGGAAAAAAATTTATATAAAGTGGGCTAATCAATGAAATAAAGATCCTCTTACTTGACTGATGATTTTTTTCTGAGTTTTAAGAACAGGATTAGAAACTTAACACAACACTTAAAATTAGAGATAACTAAACGATTTATGATTTTATGGTCTGTCAATAATACCCGCGCTTCCCATCAATTGATTGCAGCAGAAAGAGAGGATTACAGTTGAAGAGATTAGTGCAGGAAAATTGAAGTGACATTATTGTGATTCAAAGAAAACAGGTATTGAATATGCAGGGTATCCATAATGTTGTCATGTTCCCATTCCCTGAATTTCCCCTGACTTTTCTGCTTTTCACTGACTCCAAAATTGTTTAATCTCCTGACCTTCGAACAAAACTTCCACTCAAATTTTTTTCCTTTCAAGTATGAGAGCTGACTTCTGGTAAATGCGGCTTGCAAAATTCCCTGATATTTCCTATCGATTCCCTGACTTTTAATGTTTTCATGATTGCGCCAAAAACTCTAATGTGAAAAAAAGAAGGTGGTAAAATAAGGCTGGGTCCAGCTTTCTTTGTGGGGAAAACAAGGCCAAATAGTTTGAAAATTTCAATTGAGGTAAAAAAATTTCCGAGTGTTGAAATTTTTTTTTACCTACCTGGTCAAAAAAATTCAAAAATTGTTTTGGTGATATATTCTTGAAATAGTACGTAAATGGCACATTATAACATCAAAAAGCCTTGACTTGCAGCAGGCCATCAATGAAGGTGTTCTAACATTACGTTTGTAATATACTGTTCTTTGTGACCAGCTCAACTTATTGAATTAATTACTTTAAAATTTCAATTTCTTACTAAAAAAAAGAATCATTTCACGGAACCCTCCAACCTCCTTTAAAATGACTCTTCCATTAATTCAGACTTGAAAAGTTTGTTTACTTACAAAAAATTTTCTGACTGTCATCCATATAGATAGACATACAAATGGAGCTATATGCATTATGCATAAGGCATGGCATGATGAAAGAATCTTGTAAGTACATATTGAAAAAAGAAAAAGAAGATGCAACAACCTTTCATCTCCGCACCTTTTTTCAGTACCTATTCTCTTTTTATGGATTGGATTATTCAAGCAGTGAAAGTTACAAAGAAGAGTATACTTTATTCTGATTGGTTTTCTTGTACTTATTATGCATTATTTAAAATCTTCATGGTTTCGCAACGATTACTTGAAATTAAAATTTTTTCCCTAGAGTCAGCACCATCTTTTAAATGTCTTTATAGTGCATTCCTTGGTGATTTATGATTTTGAAATTCTTACCTCCAGCAGCGATCACATCTTCATCTACAGGCTCACTGGTGCTTGTGTACACGCCAAACTTTCCTTTGATGAGCTGCAAAAATTTTTCCTTCTTCAATGGACCATTGTTGACATTATCCCAACACTCAACATCAAAACTGAAAAAAAAAAAACAAAGTAAAAGTAAATAAAAGTATGTGAGGGTTCACCAAGGCCAATCATTCCCCTCCTTCCTTTACCCTCCCTCTGAAAAAAAAAGGAAAAAAAATTGAAGTATCACCCTTATGGAAACATGCTAGTAAAAGATTGGAAACTCAATCAACACGACCCTTCATAGTTCTCAATTACTCCATACTTTCTTACAAGCAGCAAGGCAACTGGGTTCAGAAAAATGAGAAATCTGCTGAACATGAAAGTTGACATCCTTCAACTCCAGACATAAAAGGATATTCGTTACCATAAACTCAGATAAATTTTCGGCTGTACAGATAAATTGATGATGAAACTGCAAATCTCCATTAGCAACACATGAGACATCTTGATATAGTTCATTGATTGAAAAGAAAAATACTCAACATCATTTTTAAAAACTTTTGATATTGTCCTCCGTTTGAAGGAATTCTGTGAAAATTTCAAGCAAAGGTGTGGATATATCTTTATTAGATAAAAGGAAATGGGAGCAGAGATTTTGCAACTTTGCAAGCAAGAATTGTATTATCGCAGTTTCACTGTAAGAATATATGACTCTATCGGTAGTGTCAACAATTCGGCTATCACATCATTTGAAATTGATAGGTACTTGAATATTTCTGAATCATATAATGAATATTAGCAGAAGAAAGGGCAATATTCCAACGAGAACCTCAGAGCATGGGCTACAAATTTTGGTACCTCTGATCATCCTTGGGAAGAAAACTTATTTTTCAACGGTGTAAGTCGGCAATCACATAACTCGGATTGCGATATTGCAGACTACCTGTCATACTTTTTTTTTAAACGAAAAAACTTCTCAATGGCAATTCTTTAAAACGTCCTAGGAAAATTCCACAAAAACTTCAAGGAAAGATGTCAATTTCTTCTCCTTTAAAAAAATAACAGAGACAAAGATTTTCAGACACCGCAGACAAAATATGTGATTGCGGACTTACGTCATCGATAGCAAGAAATGTAATGTAAGAAATGTAAGAAACGTCCCAGCCAGCAAATGTAAGAGGTAGAGCTACTGGTGAGTTACTACGGTTGGATCTGTTTTATCATTGTTTGTAGAGCATACATTTGCTTTCAGGTACTATAATGTGTGCACGACAAAAGTGAAACTAGATATACGCATAGTCCTTATAGGCTCACATTAAAGTTTAAGCCCAAAATAATATGTGATATTTTTGAATGAAATTTCAAGAGAATGTCAGTGTACTTGAATGCAAATCAAACCTTAAGAAACTCTGAGTGATGACTGACCTTGCTTAAAGAAGTGAAGACAACACGGAATCTAAATATATCATGAAATACTGCATTACAGGTTTCTCAAAATGCTTCCTCTATTGCACACAGGGAAAATGAACAATCATCGATTCATATGATGTTACTTAAAATTGCATCTAAAATACTTAAGTTTCCAAGTGTAAAGCAATGTTGGCCTGAGTAATTACTGATGCAGAAAATCCCTAACTCTAGGTTTGATCTCCCAACAACATGATGACACTCTGTCTTGATACAAATACCTGCCTTACTACATTCCAACTGTGAAGATCAGCACGCAGTATGATCATTCGGTAACAGGAGCAGAACTTAGAATGGGTCTGCCTTTCATCCCATTACCTAAACAAAAACACAGGTAATGGTTTAAAAGACTGAAGCACTCACAGTCACGCCCTGAAGTGACACCCTTTCTTGGGATTTTACCGTTTTCAATCTGGCGATTCCCTAGCCAAGTCAGAGGACATCCTTCAGTTTGCCGCAACAAATACTGGCAAAGTCTGGACGAATTGTAACCCAATGATCACTTAGTGTCTTTATTTACATATCAATCCTTATCAAAATTGCCTTGCAGAGCGGAGACAAAACCTAACCTCTGAAACTGGCAAATCCCCCTTTATACAAATTGATAAGGAAACGAAGTAAATTATACTTTACTGTTGTCGTAAGAGTTCGATGGATGATGGTAAGTAGTCCGATCTTGTGACTAGAACTTCAAGCTTTTTGCTTGGACTAGAAGACATTGTTCTTTCCGATGCAACTGGGAAAAGAAAACGAGAAACGCTACGAGGATCGATCAGTGACGCGGGCGGACGACGAGCAAACTGAAGCACCATCGTCTCAAACTCTCGACCACTGATGATATTATGATTCGGCCCACTGAAGATAAGAGTTGAGAAATATTATCACTATAATCCACTAAAACTCCGAGGATAACACGATTCGATTCCAATGTACTTAAATTTGTTTCAACAATTACACTTATTCCTTAAAGTTTGACCTTAATTATGTTTACATCTGCACTATTTGAGGAGCACCGAATAACAAGAACAAGAACATTTATTATTCAAAGTGCGGACCAGGGACTAAAACGCTTACAACACAGCATACAGTTTGCTGTCACATTTACAAGCACAACTTTAGACTTACATCATCCGAAATTCCAAAAAGAGCCAGCAGAGCGCGCTATTGCTATGGCGCTAATATGGCATTATCACTAATCTGTGGGCATTGTGTTCGAACTTCGATTGCGGTGGGTGCGCGTTTAATTTTATAATCCTCGTAGAAAAACCACCCATTTGTAAATACAATTCTAGATGAAGCGCACTTCAGCAATGCATTCACCACTGCAAAAATTTCAGAGGAAATCGACAAGCCCAGCGTTCATGGAGGCTATCTCCATTTAAATCTTCCGTCACATTCTTACGGCGCAATGATAAGACTATTTGAACTCTCCGGAAAGCGTGAGGTATCACGCCTCATTTGAAGGCGTTTTCAAATCAACCAAGTTCCGATACCCGGATTATCGTTTTGCATAGTTCATATTCTTTTGTAAAATTTCGTACCACTCGTTTATTTTAATCCTCGTAGAAAAACCATCCATTTGCTAAATACAATTCTAGCTGAAGCGCATTTAAGCGCATTCATGACTGCAAAAATGTTAACGAGGATCGAAAAGGCCAGCGTGCATGAAAGCTATTTCAATTGTAATCTTCCGCCGCATTTCTAAGGCGCAATGATACAACTATTTGAACTCTTCGGAATGCGTGAGGTATCACGCCACATTTGAAGGCGTTTTCGAATCAGCCAAGTTCCGATACCCGGATTATCGTTTTGCATAGTTCATATTCTTTTGTTATATTCCGTGCCACTTGTTTAATTTTTAATCTTCGTAGAAAAACCACCCATTTGCTAAGTACAATTCTAGCTGAAGCGCACTTCAGCTATGCATTCACCACTGGAAAAATTTCAGAGGAAATCGACAAGCCCAGCGTGCATGAAGGCAGGCCCGTCGCAAGGGGGGGATACTGGGTCCCTCTTACCGGGGCCCGTGTTACCCGTTAAAAACCACTACGAATTCACATTTATCAGGGTCGGACTGACGCACCTCTGAGGGCGCAGACCCTTAGCCGGCGAAGGGGGCGCAATGTGATATTTTGCTCAGGAGTAGGTATGCGGGAACACAAATTTTCAAATGTTTAAACAAAGTGGGAACAATGAATATCAGGGCCGGATTAAGGGGGTGGCCACATGGGCCGCGGCCCATGGCGGCAAATTTTGAAATTTTTTTAAATGTAGATATAAAAAAAATGGGATTCAGAAAAAAAAATTATCAATGAGAAAAGGGGACAAAATCCCCCTTTCCTAAGAGTATAGTAATTTCTAATTTTGTTGTTTTTCGGTGATACGAGAGACAGCATCTTTAATTAGTCGAATTAAGAGAGGGACTAAACACGCAATTTGGCCTGGTGCTCAGCGCAGAGAGGAATGATGACGAGGACTTGAGATGAAAAGGAGAAACCCTCGGCGCGGCGGTCGGCATGTAACACATATTGGCGCCTACAAGATTGCATGAATACTTCACGCATTGCGTCAGACACAGTGCGGTCAGCAGCGGTCGGCGCGGCGTGGAACGCATAGCGCCTCCAAGACTGTAGGAATACTTCCCGCATTGCGCCAAATACAGTTCGGTCAGCGCGGAGCGGCGGCGGGAGTTAAAATCATTAAACCACATTTATGTTTGTTCTTTCTTAATTTTTTCGTTCAATGCTTATAAATGGAAGGCCTTGTCCACAAAGAGATAGGTTTACGGTACTTAAATTTCGCGCAGTTTCGTGAACTTTCGCCAGTAGTGCTGACAGGGCTTTCGCAAAAAAATGTGTCTAACACGAGTAAACGTGTTTTATGCACCTCGCTACCTCCGGCACGTTCACTTGATGGGTTTATTGACGTTTCAAAACGAATGAGAAGGGGGCGGCAAAATACAGGCGGCCCATGGGCGGCAAATAGGTAAATCCGGCCCAAGGCGGATAAAGAATGGTGGTCGCATTTCGATTTTGGCTGCCATCTTGAAGCGTTGTGACGTCAGGAGGGTACGGGTTTTGCCGTGCAATCCGAGGTTGAGTCGGCCCCCCCGGCCTCGGCCAGCCCATGTACCCGATGTACCCGATACCGTGTGACGTCCAGAGGGTACGAAATGCGACCACCATTCTTTATCCGCCTTGAATCCGGCCCTGATAAATTTACATACTACACAGCTAAAGGAAAGAAAAACAAGCAGTTCCAACGCCAAAGCGTTGGAGGGCGCTTCTTTGACAAAGTATATTATTATCAGTTTATATACCCGATGACTGACGAAGATTGAAATAAAAGTGGGAAGCTTTTCCCATTAAACTCTTCAGAACTTCAGGACGACAACGAAGATCTAGAAACATCTATAAGCATTAAGTGATAAACCTTTAGGTGGTGCATGGAATCATAAAGGATACCGTGTAAATGAGACGACGGGAAAGAACGGCGGAACGTCTGATAAAGCTAGATGCGTCAACGCGATCTAGCGGACAGCGGCGTCGCGAGGTAGGGCGCGCGGGTCGCGGCTCGCGGGGGAGCGTGGCAGTGAGAACAGGAGTGCAGCAGCGGGCAGGGGAAGCGTGGGTCGCGGGGAAGATAGCGACCGCGGCGACGCGGTGCCGGCCGGCGGTGACATCAACGACATCGGCGCTGGCTGGACCCATAATCACGGCGTGAACACTCTGCCAGGCAGCGCTAATGTCACCGCTAACTGGAGTTGGGGGTCCTTATTTATTCTCCAGGTCCATGACATAAACTTAAACCTTCAGCCCGATGCCGCAAACAGCTGACGCTTGACGATGCTGCGCCGAGAAAATGAACCAATCACAAAATAGCACAGTAATACGTCACTAAAATGAAGAGATCACGTGACTGTTCGTGATTTTTTCGAATCAATCTGAAACTACAACCTCGAATATGAGGCATTTAAGCATAACGAAGCCCCGAAATAGTTTAACCAGGTAATACGTCCGTGCGAGATTGTTATGCTAAAAAGCAAAACATTTCACGAAAACTTTTACGAATACCAGATGCAGAAGAAAATCAAATTTTCCCGGGTGTACCAGAATGGCGTCATTACCCATAAGGCAAAACGGTATGTAGTATAGTACATGTTACATCGGGGGAGTCGAACGGCTGGAAGGGGCGCATCTGGTACCCAGAAGCGCCCAAAATGAGACAAGGGGACAGAATACAGAATACACTTTCCTCTATAACTCCTATTAAAGCTTCTCTAGTTTACTTATAATTTTTAGGCATTTTTTTCTTTACTTATTATCTTTTCTCCTTGCATTTTATTTATTATTATTTTCTTTTTTTCTTCTTCTTTTTTCCTTTTTTTCTTTTCTTTCTTTTCTCCTTTTCTTCATTTTCTTCATTATCATTCTAGCAGCCGGAAGAGGGGCGCGCCTTCGGCGCGCTAAGGGGGGCGCATCTGCCAATGGCAGATTGGCCTTATGGTCAGTCCGACCCTGACATTTATTTGTTTCTAAAAACTTCTGCAAAAAAACTTTAAGTTATACTCAGGGTCTTCAAACAATTTGTTATCTCACTATGAGCCTTCTCTCCAATTAAAATATATAGAATGCATTGTTGGTTGCTGTACCTAATATTGTGTTTCCATGTCTAGTGCAAATTCTTTTGTAAAAAGCTGAAATCCAACCCACATTAGTGCACGTTTAACTGTGCCGCAACTCAAATGATGTATGAGTGAAATAAATATTCAGGGATCACAGTCGCATTGTTTTGCTGATTTTGCAGTGAATTTCATGTCATTTTGCTAGATATCTAGTATCATTTATTTGAAGTTATTATCAATAAAATTATTTTAATCATCATTAACGTTTTTATGGAAATTCTGCCTATGATAAAATTCATGACAATACACACAATTTTTTAATATATTTGAAATCAGGCACTTTGTTTCACTGTGTTTTGGTGCATTTATTGAACAGAAAGAGCTAGTTTACATTCATCAAATAGAATTCCATCCGATGGAAATCTACAACCAAACAATATTCAAGAAAATGACAGCTACCTAAAAGTGCACCAAGATGAAACCGTTCGCTTATTTTTAACCGGATATTTCAATTTTAATCTTCCGTCGCATTCTTACGGCGCAATGATCCAACTATTTGAACTCTCCGGAATGCGTGAGGTATCACGCATTCCGGAGATCACGCATTTGAAGGCGTTTTCAAATCAGCCAATTTCCGATACCCGGATTATCGTTTTGCACAGTTCATATTCTTTTGTTATATTCCGTGCCACTTGTTCATTTTTAATCCTCGTAGAAAAACCACCCATTTGTAAATACAATTCTAGCTGAAGTGCACTTCAGCTATGCATTCACCACTGCAAAAATTTCAGAGAAAATCGACAAGCCCACCGTGCATGGAGGCTATCTCCATTTAAATCTTCCGTCACATTCTTACTCTCCGAAATGCGTGAACTCTCCGGAATGCATGAGGTATCACGCCGCGTTTGAAGGCGTTTTCAAAACAGCCAAGTTCCGATACCAGGATTATCGTTTTGCATAGTTCATATTATTTTGTTTCAATTTCTAACCACTTGTTTAATTATAATCCTCCTATAAAAACCACCCATTTGCTAAATACAATTCTAGCTGAAGCGCACTTAAGCGCATTCATGACTGCAAAAATGTTAACGGGAATCGAAAAGGACAGCGTGCATGAAGGCTATTTCAATTGCAATCTTCCGTCCCATTTCTAAGGCGCAATGATACAACTATTTGAACTCTCCGGAATGCGTGAGGTATCACGCCGCATTTGAAGGAGTTTTCAAATCAGCCAAGTTCCAATACCCGGATTATCGTTTTGCATAGTTCATATTCTTTTGTTATATTCCGTGCTACTTGATGTCTTTCACATTTCTTGTCTTCTGTCACATTTCTGTGTTCTTGTCTTTACATTTGTCTTTCCCGTGTCAAGTAACCCTCGAGTTTCAGGTTTTCGGTAATTCCTATGATATGAAG